CTCCACTAAAGTATAAATAACCAAAATTACTACTTAAGTAAAGTAACAAAGTATTTGTACTTAGTTACTTGACACCTCTGCATATTCAACAACTGATTTATTAGCTACTCATCATCAAAACAAAGGACAAAACATGTTTCTGAAAACCAGGCAACATTTTAATTTGATAAATCACTTCCATCAAAACAAGGACAAATAAAGACAATAATAAAGGTGCTGTCAGCTGTAGCAGAAAGACAGATTGAGGAAATGTTCACAGAAGTAGCAGAATTTTATGTCAGATTACAGCATGAACTCCAGGCCCATTCAGGTCAGAGATTCTACAGTAATCCTAAACTCAATCTGCTTTTTATTTTTATATACATTATTTATATTAAATAGGGCACTTTGAAACCACATCAAGCGTTAAAAAACTCAGTTAAAAATCATATTTACAGTAAATATTACTCCTCTTTGTCCTGTTTGTTTTTAAAGCAAGATTTTCTAAAAGTTCAAAACATTTTTACCCCAAAGTATCATAATTTGAAAATATACAAAAACTGTTGCAAACATTAACACATAAAAAAAAACTTCAGCTTCTTTAAACAAGAGGCAGCAGAGATGTCGTTTTCACATTTCTCTTTCCAAAAAAAAAACAACAACAAAAAACCTCACTTTAAGCTTTATTTAGTAACAGCTGGCTCCAGACTTTGAGTCTGCATAACCGTCCTGCTCATTGGGTAAGTGAAGGCAGCACGAGCGCGATCATTTCAAGTGCAGCGAAGGCGTGCACTTCACGCTCTCACCTGCAACACAACGCACTTTGGCTGCATTTTATCCTCCACTGCACTTACTACTTCAAATCAGAACCGTTTTTTCCCCCAGCGTAACGCAAACTGAAACGGACCATTAAACAAGTGAAATGTGCTTTTAGTGCTCCTAGCAGAAAAATCTGAGCCACCAACCAATCTGTATGATTGAATATTGGTGCACTGCTCAGTATTTATTCACTTGTTCAGTGTACTCAATTTTTTTAAGTGCAATCGGTTTTCAAGCTTTTTAAAGTAATGATAACTAATTGATTTTACAGTGTGCTTTGCTTCAAAGAAAACTGGGATTTGAGTGTGTTTTGAGTTGATAGATACTCTGATTGTATTTGGCATAAACAGGCGTTTAGGCAACTGAGATGTTATAACCATTTCCATTTTTGTCTGTTTCAGCCCGCAAAGTGCAGTTTATTTAGTGTGTTTAAACGGCAAAAGTGAGTAAAACTAAATTAAGTTGAAAAACCTCCTCCTGCTGTCAGTGTGCTGATGTAACCAGTGAAACTTCTTAAAGTGCAGACTGCAATAGACTGCTGTGCTGTGATTTGAGATGTTCCCTCGTCAGGTTCCCCATCTCTTCATCAGCGCAACAAAATTATTTTCAGGTGCAACACAGTGTGCTAACAAAGTCACACGATCCAAGCAAGCAACGCAACAAAGTTTAGGAGGAGAAGTGCTGTCCAAACGATATTTACACGTCCTACAAAAGCAGGGACTGCGCTGTGAGACGGAGCCTCTCAGAGAGTCATGAAGTTTGTTCTTCACAGTCCTGCAGAACAACTTTAGAAACCTGCTCCTTGTTTTGCTTCTTCTGTCTGTCTGCTGAAGCTCAGAGAAGAGCCGTGGCGGGACATGAGAGCAGAGTTTAAGCTCTCCTCTCTGTCTCTTCTCTCTCCTGTCTCTGTGTCACAGAGGTCCAGGTCGGGCTGATCCTCTGCTCCTCCTCCTCCTCCTCCTGCGGTGCTGTCACACCAGGAGCATCCCTGAAAATCACACACACAAAAAATAAAAAAACTGTGTTTTCTAAAGGGAAAATACAAGCAGTTTGAATGCTGAAGGRCTTTGCTGGAATTTTCTGAAGAAGCTGAAGCTAAAGAAGCAGAACATTAGCTATAAGCTAAATGAGGCACGATGAGATGTGAAAAGTAAATAAAGGCTAGCCAAAAGTAACAAAAAGGCTAGTTAGAAGCTAAATATTGCAAAAGCCTGGCTAGAAGCTAAAACAAGCAAAAAGCTAGCTAAAAGTAGCAGAGCAGTAGCTAAAAGCTAAAAGTAGCTAGGGAGAATAAAAATAGAGCAAGTGCTGTTTGAATGTTTAATAGAGATCTGGGTGTATTTCTAGGAGGGAGATATAAAGATAAATAATTTGAAAAGTGCAAAGTTACAAACACTAAAAGCTAAAGAACTAATCTCCTAAATAAGCTGAACATTTTCATGTATGCAGAAATGGTTAGACTGCAAAAACATACCAGGAAAAAGCATTCCCACAATAAATCAGGCTTATAATGAGGAGCTGCATGAGTTGCAACGGAAATGACAGTTTTGTTCTACCTTGACATCCATGGCTTTGGGTAAGCCGCCCTTCTTGATCCAGGGGTGCACCTCGCTCAGCTCCTTCTTCTGATCCTCTGAAAAGCGAGGCTGGTTGTGCTGCAGCAGCCGCATCTTCTCACTGTCCTCTCTGAGAAYGCTTTGGATGTCACTGCAACGCACAAAACACACAAACTATCACCTAATGGGGTTCGAACTGACCCTTAAACCAGGAATGATTAGTAAAAATAAAACGTTTAAACATGATKACATAAAGCTGAAGCTCTGTGGGACGTTAAGGTCATTGTAAGGTTCATTGTGTTCATTAAATGTTTTTAAATGAGGACGMCATCTAGTGGTAAAACAGTTCCTTCACAGCAGAATCAAACCCTGTCGTGGTGAGACTCCTCTCACTAATTGTACTCAAACTTTATAAGCTTTGCCTTATTTAGTCCAACTTTACTTTCACTTCAACAAAACCAGAACAAAAAGAGTTGAGGACTTTTTGTCACCAGGTTGCTCTTCCTTATTGGCCGATTTGTCAAAATAAAGAAAATMATGGAAGAACTGCCTTTAGCTACAACTGTAACAAAGAAACTGCACAGTTCCATCAGAATTTTCTTATTTAAGAATGAATAGAAATGAAATTAATTGTGCAATTACCTTTTGTATACTATAAAATGTTAAAGCTGGGCAAATAAATCTAACAAATTTATTAAAAGCTTAATGTTTTCCCAGCATTAGTGGCTGCAATAAGTCCACTTTATTTTACTTTTTTACCAGAACAAATTAAAACCTGGAGGTTTAGCATGATTTATTGCATGAGAGAAATGTAATTTTATTGTTTTATGTTTGTAAAGAGATTTTTCTGCTTGTGGTATTTATTGTGTCTGGGGTGTATTAAATACACACTGTCAGGGGTTACAGATACAACACAAGCAGGTCTCATTTTTGAGAAATCACTGTAATTCAATAAGAAAGTTTTTTTGTGTTTTTATTGTATGATCAGAAAAAAACATCAGAATTAAAACATTTTAGGTTGAATCATTACTTCTGTTTACATTTAAACAGCAACAAAAATCAGGGAGTAAATGCCTTTCCTTCTGACTCCCAGTTTAAAAAGTGATTTACATACAGTAGATGCAACACTAGATAAGAACATTACTATAAATAAGACAACATGAAAACAGATTTTTATTTTACCTCCAAAAACAAATGCTGCAGTGCCAATGCAGGAAGTAACGTGGGCACGGCCTATTATTCAGATATGATTTATAACACGTATAGAAACAGAAATATTCTGTCTGCATCTCATTTAAAAACCACRGCTGAAGTATTGTCTCATTTAGGACGTGGTCAACAGTTGGGAACTTGCTGTGAATGCAAATAGACAACAGAAGCATWTTTATCAGACTTGGGCTCAGATTTGAAGCAGACAGGAGCTCTTATGAAGGTGAAAGGAGAGCCAGACTTCAGCGTTGTTTACTTTCATATTCACTAAGCTTTACAACCAAACATCGAAACCACAACACGATCTTTATCTGGCGTCTTTGCTGGCTGCGTCCGCGCCTTTCCACTCACCGCGACGGCAGCTCGTAGGTCATCATGACCTTCTCCTCTGTGTTGGCCATGAGCAGCCACAAGGGGTCCTGCAGCGCACCCTTTATGAACCGTTCACTCTGCTCCGTCTCCGTGGGCCCTCCTTCGCCGCCTCGCAGGTGACCTTTGACCTTCTGGCTGCTCTGAGACGAGTCCACGCTGCCGAAGTATTTACTGCTGTTGTTGCTTCCTGACAACAGCCAAAGAGCAATTGAAACATGATGTTAAAACAATATAGTTGTATAAAAACCCTCTGAGGATAAAACTATCTTTATTTGTTGCATTAAGACCTAGAAAATTATTTAAAGCTACATATACAGAACTTTTGTGGCAGAAAAATCCAAATATAAAAATGTCTTTCAGAAACACTGAATGCTGTTCTAGACAGCATAAAAATACACAACACAAAACCTTATATAAAATAGTAAGGAGTAATCATTGATTAATTACCCTTTAATGTCTTATTTTTATTATACTGATGTTTTTGCAATAAAAGCTTTAAAGYGTGGGCGATGATGTGGTACAGACCTGAAAAGCTGCCTGATGTCTGACTAGCTGAAGTCCTGCTCTTAGACATCCCGCTGCCTGAAGTCCCACAGCCGTTGGACCCGGAGCCCATGGACCCAGAGGTAGCGGAGCCGGTGCCCGAACAGGAGTCCTCTTGAAGAATGATGTCCAACATGTCGCTGGACGTCGAGTTGATGTCGCTGTTGTTGGTCTCATCATGCGAACTCCTCTGTGGAAACACAAAGGTGGATGTGACGTCATTACAGAGCAGCTTCTCCGCACCGCGCCGGCCCCCGATGCTGCAGGAAATAGTGGTCGGTTTGTTTCTCGAGAAATAAATTTCTGTTTGTTCATGACTGATAAAAGTTTTGGGTCATGCTTCATTTCTTTACTTTTTCTTCAAAAGGAGGCACACTTTCTTGTAACCTTTTAGGTTTTTTAGACACTGACAGATTTTTCACTCATTTCTTTACAGGACCTGATAATTATTATTTTTGTTAGTTAGACATAAAACAGTCAAGTGTCACACAGACAACTTAGCAAAAATACTGTATATATAGACAGATTGGGCTTTTATGTACTGGTACTTTGTTACCATCAATCTGTCACAAAAACACAATTTGTTCCCAGTTATTTAGTTAAATGTATCAGGTTGTTGGATATTTTGTGGCTGATTAACTGAATTTTAGACGCAGTCATGTAARAAGTTTACACATCCCTGTTCAACTCTAGGTTTTGATGATGTMGAAAAATGAGACCATCRTATCCAGGGTGAGACCAGGTTTTAYATAAAAATTGTGAACTGAACTTAATTGGTTTTCTGTGCATGGTTCAGGCTTCCARGTGCTTTACATGGTCTTTCCTGGATTTTGAAAATAATTTCTTGAAAACATGACTTTCAGATACCGTTCTTCTGCTGTTCACATAAGCTGTCACAATCAGACACAAGCATTGATAAATCTTTAAAAAGTGTAGATTGAAATGTAAATCAAAGCTCAACATACAAAAAGAGAAACTGTTAGAATCGACATGTAATCTGGAAGGAACGGGATTTAATAAGTGTGGAGTTCTTTGGATGATTCGCCTACCTCGTTGCTGCAAGACCCAGTCCTAGACCACACTTTAGCCCAAGACAAACCTTCACAGACACAGGATGTGGGCTCGAAATACAAGGGTCCTGGTGGACCAAGGAGACTGAGAGAGGGCTAAAGGGTGTAAGGGATAATGATATCATTAACACCCAGTGCCACAGTTTATCTAAGGAGTCTTGACTGACTCAACCTTACACATGGCATTGCAAATCAACAAAGAACCTAGCAGTTTGAAAACGTGCAGATTTAGTTTTAATTCGTGTAATGATGAGATTAAAACCCAAATGGCTGAGACATTTGATTGAAAATCTTGGGGGGAATAAATGACAACCTGTCTAAAGTGGTTCAAACAGGTTCAACTGGTATATTCCWGTGTTTTTAATCAGTCTGTGATGCCATAGCAGGGGAACATCAGACACTGTGGGTGTAGAGAACGAGACAAAGTGAGGGACGGATTCATTTCCATATTTACCTGTTTATGTTCTTTTTCCTGGACCTGGACGCCTCTTGCTCTTTTTTCCTTCTCAGCCATGATGATTCCATGTCCTCCTGAAGAGAGCGCCGTGCTGTCCTGCCTGTCCACTGACAGCTCCAGCTCCAGCAGATTGAGGGGTGAGCTGCAGCGAGAGTGAAACAAAGGAGGGGACGCCGGACCTCCACTCTCAGCGGACTGTGGCGTGGAGGAGCAGGAGTGGCTCTCCGTGTGGGGCTTTGGGGTTTCAGATGAAGCGGGGAAGCAGAATRGTGGAGACAGGCAGCTTGCTAGAGGAGTAAACTGGTTCTGAGCGTTGAACTGGTTCAGACCACTGAAGGAAGGAGGAAATGTGAAAGTGCCTTGCCCCGGGTCAAAAGGCTGCATTTGGGCGGGGATGCCCGTGGTCTCAACCTGATAAACTGGCACTGATGGTGGTAGTGGATGTCCCGGGCTCATTAGAGGATATAAATAATTGGGGAGCACTAAAGCCATAACGGGGGTGACAATATGAGAGGTGAAGGGAGCAGAATGAAAACCTTGCGAAGTGGCTTCTGCATGAGAAGATGTGGAATTGGCTCTGGGGGGAACCGGCAGGGGGTAGCCTGGCATTACGACAGGATACGGCATGRGGAAAGGGGACTGCGAGGCGTCAGGAGGAGACCACAGGGTCTGTTTGAGGCCGTGGTTCTGCTGTGGCGGCTGCTGTTTGTGATGGGACGTCGGGTTGTTAGTAGAAGTGTTGAGCTTTGCTCTTTTTGACTTGGTCTTCCTGTTCCTGGATCCTCTCCTCGTGGGTGGCTCTGTGCTCGGTTCTTTCTGTTTGCAGGGAGGAGCAGGTGCAGCTGGAAAGTCATACAAAAAAAATTGTCTGGTAAGTGGATCATTTTAAGAAAGTCAGAGTGTGTGGTTGCTGTTCTGTCGTTGTTTTGTGTGTGTTTCAATAACACAATAGTAAAATAAAATTCAAGTAATAAGCCAGTCAGCAAACTGGTGTCTAGTGGTACCATCGGTGGTGGTCTCGTCTCTCTGGTGATCCAGAGTCTGACAGCAGTTTGCTTGGAGGGCAGAGAGTCCACGAAGCTCTCTGACGCGATACAGGAAGGCCTGCTCCTCCTTCTGAGTATGAGCCGCCAGCACCGCCTTGGTCAAACCCAGCTTCTTGTAGGGCTCCCTCTCCTGGCCGGGAGGAGAAACAGCCCGAGGAGGAGCACAGAGGTTCTGGATGGATTCTGCTGTCTCGCCTGCTCCTGCTACGTCTTCTGTGATCTCTGCGTAGAAAACAGTGTGGGGAAATAAATGATGACGTAATGTGCTATGTGACACGTTAGCAGTGGTGACAAGAAAAGCAAAGCAGGTCAGAGGCTTGCACAGGAACAGGATCCAGTGCTCACAGAGTCACATTTAGTCATTTAGCAGATGAATGTATCCAAAGTCACAAATGAGGAAAGCGTTTCAGCAACAGGACAGTAAAAACTCTGCAGTTAGCTGCACATCTGAAAGTAAAAGACACAGGATACGATGCAGGACAACTGTGACGAGTTACACAGACGCTAGAGGTTCAATGAGGTTATAGCAAGTTTAAATCTGCACCAGTACACATTAACTCAACTACATAATACATCTTTTTGTACTTTTTTTTAAAATAACTATAGTTTTTCAATATTTAACAAATTGGAAAAACTATCATTTTGTGTAATTGAGTGAGGATCTGTGTGTAGTTTGTTCGTTGGATTTTCCGTTTCAAAATAAAATCTCAAAAAGAAAACAACCCATGGTGTTTTTTTTTAAAACAACAACCGAAATATTTAAAAATCCACAGTGAAAATAAAATATGTTGTTGTTGGTTTAATTCGTAGCAATACCGGAAATGACAGATTGCCAAAGAAAAAGAGTTTACAGTGGCTGGACGACTATTTGAAAACAGAAACCATGTGTAAAGATGGTGACTATGGCTCTATGTTCTCTATTTCGCATAACTCTGAACATTTGAGCAATTTTATTCACAGTCAAGTCATCAGCTCTTAATGAGAAGTGGCGACCGATTTCGGGTTCTGACAGAAGGTTTCAAATGGTGCACTAACATAATACGAATGYTTTCACTAAATAAATGAGAAAAATATAGTTTTTTCTTATTTCATTTTTGCTATTTTTATTTTTTCTAACTTGGTTAACTTAAGACCATGAACCAAGTACTAATCATTTGTTATTACAGCTCTGTTCTGCAATGACGAGCGGACATATTTTCTAAGTTGTTTTAGTTTTTATGCTCAAATTTTGAAAGACAGACATTTTGTGTCTTCACCAGCTGTGGGATATTTAACAGCCTATGAACGAATTGGCTGCAGAAGCTGCTTTACAGAGGAAATATTCAAAAATAAACCAATCTGTTGTGGGGGAAAATTAACTTGAATGAAAGAATATCTGATAAACACATCATTATGAATAAGAGTCCTAAACACACACACACTGCCTGTATTATATCTCTAGTATTTATAATGTATTAATGTTTTAGATTTAGATGTAAAACATACTGCTATATCAATCAACAAAAAATAAACCAATACCGATTTGTCTTTCTATTCATTGCTGTCAGATCCTGTAATAACAATGTTTAGTAAAAATGCAAAACCAAAGCATTCAACAGGTATTCTAAGGCTGGGACTGTCTCACAAACAGTGCATTAAAACACTGAACGGCTGAGCTGACGCTTTAAGTTTACAGTCCAAAACATGCAGCAGGGATCATGTACTATGTTTAGTTATTCTACATGAAAATTTTTAAACTAATAAATAAAAAGAGAAAACTAGCTTTGCTCCATATTCTTAAAGTTATAGAGCCAAATTTCGAGGATAGACTAATTCTGTATTTGTTCTGAAAATCCAGCAAATGTTTGCTCACAACAAGCAGAGCTGCAGAAAGAAATGTTTGAGGTACCACTTGCCAAGCAAACAAATAAGCAAACATAAAGGCGCAGACATATAAGCATGAGAATTACAGTGCTGTGAGAAACCATTTGCCTCTATCTTTTTAGAGTTACATTTATTGTTTGATATTTTTTCCACTGAGTTAGGTCTTCAAAATAAAAATAAAAAGAAATTAAGTGTAAAATTGTTTCCAATGACTTCAATATCTGCAAATAAGAGCCAAAAGGTTTTCAAGTTGCCATATTAACCTATAAGCTGGAGTTTTTTACATATAGAGCACCTTCACTATGTTTCAGAGTTTCAGTATCAAAAATATGAAACAATAGATATTCAGGCTGGAGGTCAGTATTTTTCACACCACTGTACCTGACTCTGGTTGAGGTTTCTTGTCCCCAACATGCACCATAGTGCTACTGTAGCTACACTGGCTGGTGATGGACACCACGCTTTCTGGTTTGCTCGGAACAGGTAGGGGCATCGAGGTGCCCACTACCGCCGTGGGYGTGTCCCCGGACATTTTTTCAGGGTCATCCAAGGCAGAGGGACCAGACTGATCCTTCAATAAGGCTGGTTCTGCCAAAGAGAACAGAGAACAAGAGCCACTGATAAAGAAAACCTGTCATTTCTACGTCTGAGAGAGCAGTTTGAAGGGAAGATTGTGAAGACTACGARACGATAAGTTCTGTTTGAGAAGATAAATCACGTCTGTTTTTCTCTGTGAACTGCAGTGTTACCTTCAGGAACCTGCGAGCTGTTGGAGTCTTTCTGTTTGTCCTCGTCTGAGTTAGAGGAGGTGGTGTTGGACGAAGACTGGCACTTCCTCTTCATGATGACAGGAACATTATAGCTCTCCAAATACCTATGGGAGCCAATCACAACACAGAATTCAGAAGTTAGTTAAATTAGTATTAAAAAGAAAATTAACGTTAAGCTTTCAGTCAAATATGCATGTTTTGGCACCTTATGAAACACAAAATATGCAACTAGATTACTGAAAAAATGTCCTAAATCTTAAAAACTTATTTTGATTTTGCTGCTCTTTTGACAGAATAATAAACATTGTTTTTATTGCAGGAATGTTCCCACCATTTTTAGTTACTACAATACATACAGCAGGGCTATTCAACTAAACTGCTCCGGGTGCCACAGTTACTGCCGGTCTACAGCTGAGGGGCTGAACATCCAGCATTTAAAGTTATTATGTAAATAAACCAAGTATTACAAAGATCTGTTACCTTTGAATTTGTTTATTTTGCTGCATTTAATCATGAAAACAACATACAGAACCCTATAAAAGTGGTGATAGTTACACATTATCAAAAACAAAACACATGTTATGCCTCCAGTTTGACACAAATAATATTTTGACATCTCTGACTTGCCTAATTTTTAAACCTATTTTATGTTCACTTTCATCATTTTATCTTCAACTGCTTGTCGTCTTAAATGTCTTGAGTGTTTATAGAAATGGTTTTTACCAGCTTGTAGCCACAATCCTGACGTTTCTGTAGATACCAAACATGTCTATGTTTAACTAAAAGAACTTAATTAAAGTAGAAAACCGGGGGTTTGGGCTTAAGAGATGAATAAACCAATTGGCGGGCCGAACTTTGGTCACTCGCGGACCGGATGTGGCCTGCGGGYTGCCAATTGAACAGCCCTGATATACAGTATATTCTGGTACTAAAATTATGGTGACTGATCAGAAAGCAGTAGTACGTGCTCCACAAACTTTTCAATGTGTGTCTCTGTACCTGATAACACTGTCCAGACAGCTGATTTGCTGGTAAGAATAAACAGTCTGATCACTATTGGACAGCTCCTCCTGGAAAGAAGCTCTCCTCTCCTCCACAGATGTCCCCCTCCAGTTAAGAGGAAGAGCCGAGTCTTTGGGTCGCACCACTGCTTGGCTGTTCTGTACAGACTCTACTGGAAAAAAAGATCAGGAATCAAGATCTGATGGACAGAATATCACAATAAATGTTGTATATACTGTATATAAAAAAGACTCACTGCCACWGCTTTTTTTGTTTTCTGATTTGACCATCTGCTGCTCCTGGCTCTTCTGGAGGTGAATTCCCTTGCATATTTCCTGAAACGTTCGCTGKGAAACAAAAGAAAGATGATTTCAAWGAATWTGTGCATTTTGTTTTTGGACAAGTTCTGTGAGTTTACTCACAGGTCTGCTTTTCCCTCTCRGTTCTCCTTCCTCCTGCTGCATGCTGCTGCCGTTGTTCAGGCTCTCACTGGAGGAGGTCAGTCCCTGAAGGTGGTCGTTGCTGTTCAGACTACTGTAGCCACTGGACCCACTGTTATGAACCGGCTGTAGAGAGTTTAAACAGGAAGAGAAGAAGACATTTCTTAGATTTAGTCTATTGTCCAGTCAAATTAATTGATTGTTTAGACTTTTATGTTTATCCCCATCTAATCTCTTTACTATACATATAAGCATCTTTGACTGATTGAATCACTCCTCTGTGAGTCGTTTTACTTTTTATCTCGTCTGACCTGTAAAAGGAGCCGATGAATCTGCTCAGACATCTCCTGGATGTCAGAATCCATGGTCTTCATTCGGCCAACAGCTGAGACGGGAGGCATGAAAATATCTTCATTCATCGGTCCCCTGATAGAAAAATAAAAAAACAATGCAAAAATAAAGTAAAACATTTAAAATATCTGCACCTACTTCCAGGTTTTAGGTGTCAAATGGATATATTTCACAAATGCATTCTTAAAGATGCTCTTCTATACATGTTTAAATCAGGGGTGTTTGGTTTCTCTTACTAGCAAACTTTATTACAAGAAGGGAAAGGGCCTGAACCACTGATCAATGAAATACTATGTGAGATAATTCAGGAGTAAAGCTCACATGCGGACTTTGTGCTTCCCGATAACAAATGAGACCTTTCGGCTCCAGGGATTCACAAAACTGGACCAGCTGGTGTCTAGGATGATGTACTCTCCGTTTTGTGTACAGAAGCGGATGGAGGAGTGGTCAAATGGCTGCCCGGCATACTGAAGGACTGCAGAAAAACAAACACCTTACATAACGATGTACACAAAACAAGAATCCTTCCAGTTTATTTGGTAGACTCACTCTTTTTATGAATGGCCACCATGACCTGGCGGTCGTTTGGATGCAGGTGAAGAAGGACTGGGGTTCCGATTAGATCCTGGGGCAGATACCCGAGGAGAGGAACGGCCCTGGTACGTAAAGATCACACCATGTTTGCTAGTCTTTTGCATTTAAAACTCAATGATATCAAAGGAAATACTGAGCATTAGTAGCTTACCTCTCATCTACATCCTGGAACACACAACTCGGAGTGTGAGTTGTGGTGAAAACACGTTTGTCCGTTGGAATTCTAGGAGCTGAGGGAAASATGTTAAATCACTGCTAAGTATTTAAAATTTCTATTATTTATAATGATGCTATAATGAGTTACAGTAAAGTTACAGTACAGTTGTTTGGGTAAAGACATAGAACGTATGTTAGAGAAAATGCAAGCAGAATTTGTGAAAATACAAAACTGGTTTAAACTCAACAAATTATAACTAAACTTGGACAAAACTAATGCTATAATATTTACAAGGAGACAAAGAACTGTTAGTATTCCATTTAGAATTGATGGTGTGGAGATTAGTAGAATCAGTGAGGTAAAGTTTTTGGGTGTTATTATTGATGAGAAACTGACACGGAAACCTCATTTAAATTATTTAAGAATAAAACTAGCTAAATCTATTGCATTGCTTTACAAAGTAAGGGACTTGTTCCATGATAAAGCTCTATATGTTATACAACACATTAATTGTTCCACACCTGGTCTATTGTGTTGAGGTATGGAGTAAAGCATGTAAGACTAAATTCTGTTTTTGTTTTGCAGAAAAGAGCAACAAGAGTTATCACTCAAAAAAAACTATCATTATCCATATATTATTCTGTAAACTGAAATTATTGAAATTCTATGATTTGGTTGATTATAATATTTTGTTAGTTATGTTTAAAGCCCACCGAAACACATTACCTTCAAACATTCAGATAAACTTTGCGAAGATAGAGAGAGCTGTTATAACCTAAAGGGGAATAGAGATGTTCATGAAACCTAAATTTAGAACATGTCTGAAAGAACGGTGCACCTCAATCCAAGGAGT